TTAAATTATTATATTAGGAATTATCATTCATCTGAATAAAATACTCTATAATACAGAAGTGTCTCTAAAAATAATATAGGCCATGGATATTGAAAGTCCTACAAGAGTGCTTCTATGGCTTCAAATATTCTCTGGGTGTTGATTTTTGTTTTGCTTTTAATTGGATTCTTAGTTCATTTTCCCTGTATTTTGTCATTGTTGTTGCTGTCTCTATATAAATTGTTTTGAATGCTTTGACATCAGCTTATGGATTGTGCCTGTGTGACATACTGGATGAAATCTTTGGGTAATAGAGATCTTGATTTATGCACAATTAAACTATCCCTTCAGCAGATAATCTACTGAGATCCATTTACACTAAAATAGTATGTGTAAGTAGCTCAACAGTATGAAATTTTACGATAGCAACAGTTGTGGTTAATAACAAAAATATTGTGTTAAATCTGTATAGGGGTTGAATAATGTGCCCCAAAATTCATGTCCATCTGGAACCTTAGAATATGACTTTTTTTGAAATAGGATCTTCATAGATGTGAAGGTAAAGATTGAGAAAAGATGTTACTGGATTAAGGTGGGCCCCAAATACAATGAGAGTTCCTGATGAGGGTGGAGGAAGAAACACCAACCATGCACAGACAGAGACAGAGATTAGGATTATGTAGCCTTAAACCAAGGGATGCCAGGAGCTATCAGAGCCTGGAAGAGGAAAGGGAAGATTCTGTTGGCACTTTGACTTTAGATTTCTGGCCTCCAGACTGTGAAATAATAAATGTCTGTTGTAAGCTGCCAAACTTGTGGTAACATGGGGGCCCTAGGAAACCTGTGCAGCCTATATCTGGAGAGAAATGTAGAAGTCTGACAACAGAGCAAGAATGACTACATTGAGATACACCCTCCATTCATTCCTCCACCTCGTCTACGAGATGTGGTCACAGTAATAACAGTGTGGCCCATGCCAGGCTTTCACGGAAACTATATTATCTCTAATTGGCTTATCATCTAAACAGCATCAATTTCTACCAGGGAACAAGCCGGGGAGGAGATGTTCTGGTGTGTGTAACTAAAATGCTAGCATAGAACTTTCTAACTTCAGGCCCAGTTTGATATAAGAGTTCAAATAATATCACTAGAATCCAGTCTCTGTTGATTCTACTTCTCATGTTGGTTTTATTCTCAGATTCCCTCTGGTTACCAGATGGTTTCCAGAAGTTCTAGTTCCACATTCTCTTAGCTTCAAATCTAACCTTAAAAGGCAAGTAGCTCTGAAGAGTGAAGCTCAGGTTAGAAAACACAAATCTCTCTGGGTACTCCAAAAAGAGGAAACTTAACATGAACTTGGTTTTATGGAAATGGAAAAGCTGCAAAGATAAACAGGAGCAGATAAGATAACCCAGATATGAGCCATGTTACGCAGCCACTACAGTCCCAGGGCCTGGAGGTCAAAAAGAGGAGTTCAGAGGCCAGTGCCATAGGCATTAGGGCAGGATTTGCCCAATAGGACTGGGAGCCACATGAGAGATGCCATCTGAGAGAGCAAGGGAGAAATAGCTTGGCTTTCCTTTTGTTCCCATCCTCCAATCTTTCACCAATGCTTTCTGTTGATTGAACCTGTCAAAGCCAGTTGACAGGTGAACCTATGGAATGCAGCCTGTTAGGGGTTAGCTCTCCCTCCCGGTATGAACACAGCAAAGAAGGGGAAAGGGGTATGGATCTGAAAAGAATTAGCAGACATTTGTGAGGTTTTTTGCTGTGATTATGCTATATAAAACAATGCCCAATTTTCAGTAGCTTATAAGAATAAACATTGATTTATCTTGCTTGGAGATCTGCAAGTTAGCTGATGATGGAAGTGGGGAAATGCTGCTTCAAACCATAGCTCAGGTTTAGGTACACACCTTCTGACTCTTATTCTAGTATTTGCAGCTATCCAGGACATGCTTCTCACAGCAGATGGCAGAAGTACAAGAGCAGCAAGTAAAAACATGTGATATCTCCTAAGGCCTCAGCTCTGAACTGGCACACTGTCACTTCCACCCACATTCCATTGCCTGAAGCAAGCCACAAGGACAAATGTAACATCAGTGGGCATGATGTGTGTTCTACCTACGTTGGTGAGAGGCATTGAAATTTGACAAGGCAAAGGACTGGGCATAAACTTCTAAGACAGAAAGAGGGTGAAGAATTTGGAACAATAATACAGCACAGAGACAGGAAAATGCCAGGCACTGCTGGCCTCCTGAAAATATCCCAAGCAAAAGATCTTATTTTCTTTAAATGGGTCACGTGCCCAATCCTAAACCAATCACTGTGGCCCAAGATGTGTGATGCTCTGATTACCTATTTGAGTCATATTTCTGACTCCGGAGCTGGGAATGGAGTCAATCCATCCAAAATACATGACCAAGCCAAGAATGTTCAAAATAAAACCCACTACAGTCACCTAACACCCTATTGTGATATATAATCGTTTACTGGATTTATTCTTTTCATGACAGGGAAAAATAACTAATTTTGTAAAAAGAAAATATATCTGGGAAAACAAATTTGACTATAGAAGAAACAAGTGAAATTGGTTTCTAATTCTTGATAACAAAAAAAGAAAGAAAAAAACCCTAAAAAATAGTTATACATATACAGACACAAATTTTCTTCAACCAGCCCTGACACCAAATGGATGTCCTTCAATTCATTTCAGTTCTGACACTAATTACTCAGACTTAGTGCCAATCTCACAGTTCGAGGGCTCAGGACAATAAGATGGCCCTCACTTCAGACATCAGCCACAAACCCCAGGTTAACACTTATACTTCTGACCAACCAATTGGGTTCAATAGCTTGTTAAAGTACTTGGGGAAACATCTCAGTCCTATTGAAAAACCAGCCTCTACCTCAGAGCAAAGCCTGTCCAAGGAAGGGACATCACCTTTGTCCTTGGAAAGACCCACAGAGCACTCGTAGGCACATTCCCACCCTGCTAAGTTGTTAATCTACAAATAACAGGAGAGATCTGCAGAGCCAGGTGTCCCTGACTCAGTCAGGCTAGGTGGGGAACCATAGCAACCCTCTAGCAGCCACCAATCAGCATGAGACAGGGAAATACCTGGGATGCCAGATGACCTTCCCAGTAGTTTATGGTGGTTGATACCGAGTTGAGAAACCATGTAGTTCAGCACGAACACCCCTCTTGGCTTAAACCAATCAGTTCAAATGAATACCCCTTTTGTACTGACCAATCACCCCTACCCAATTTGTTCCCACCAGTGAATGTGCTAATCATGTTTTAGAGTTGTTATTTGATTTTCCCGCGGTGTGTGATGATTTGCTAAGAGATGCTATAGTGTATGTGAAGTCCCTGCCTTCTCCAAAGAATGTATAAAACTGCTGCAAACCCTGGGCTTGGGGCCTCTCAGCGTCACCAGTTGCTGTGGGTGCGCGCGGAGGACCAAGGTAGCTCGTAATAAACACCTCTTTGCTGCTTACATTGATCATGGGTCTCTGGTGGTCTTTTGGGGGTCCCGAATTCGAGCACAACACTGTTACCAGTTTATCATCAAGAATACTTCTCAGGAACAGCCAAATGGAAGAGATACACAGGGCAAGGTCTGAGGGAGGGAAGGAGCACCTCCCTGTGTTTACCAACCCCCTAAATTTCCAAATCTCATTGTTCAGGGGTCTTTAAGGAGATCTCATTACATAAGCATGATTTATTAAATTATTGACTTTTGGTGATTAAAGCCTATCTCCAGCCCTTCTTTCCCCAGAAGTCAGGGGTTAGGGCTGAAAATTCCACTCTTTAATCATTCAGTTGGTTCCTCTAGTTGCAACCCAACCTGAAGTGATCTAGGGGCCCACCAAGAGACACCTCATTAATAAACCTAGGAGTGGTTAAAGGGAGCTTGTTATAAATATCAAAAGATTATTCTATTAACTCTATCACTCAGGGATTTCCAAGGGTTTTTGAAGCTCTGTGTCAGGAACCAGGATCAAAATCAAAATATGATTTGTTTGTTTGTTTGTTTTTGGTAGTTGTAGATGGATAGCATTCCTTTATTCTGTTTATTTTTCTGCGGTGCTAGGATCAAATACAGTGCCTCACATATGCTAGGCAAGTGCTCTGCCACTGAGCCACAACCTTTGCTCCAAAATATGTATTTCTTATAGTATCATAATTAGTTTTCCAGATGGTAAGCATCATTGTTTGCTACTATAAGGTCATAATCATTTTAATAAATCCAGATCTACAGGATTAAGCTTCTAGCTCTGTTCCCAGCGTCCCCACAGTCCCCATGTCTCACAACTTCCCCCAAAAGATACCTTGTGATCTGGAGACACCAAACCACACACAGTTCCCCAAAGCTGGATCTACCCTTTGAGACATTCAGAAATGTATTTGTCATAAGTGTCTTTTCCTCACCAGCCCTCTCCCTGAGGGCCTGCCTATATTCTCACTTGCCTCTTCATTAATCAACTATATCCCTTTAATCACTGGAGGCCGATATCTTCACTTTACAAAGGTGAAGCTAAAGTTTAGAAAGGAATGGTGCTCCCTGCTGTTGTCCTGTAGATTAATTTTGGTCTTCTGGGGAATCTGCATAATTCCCACCTTCTTCCTGTTGCGGCTGCCCTTCTTTCACCTTGACTCCTAGCCATGGAATCCAGGGCTATCCTTTGAAACCTAAAGGAAATGCCACCTCCTCCAAGACTTTCCCCAGTTGGGTAAGCCCACAGAGCGCTTTCCTGTGCACCCCAGGTCATTCCCTCCAGTTGATTACTGGGTCTTAACCATTTTTGTATCCCTCATGGAGTTTAACAACAAAAAAAAAAAATGCATGCACTTAGTTGTATCAAGATAGAATCCACTCCCTTTTCCACTGACTACTTATTTTTAGAACTTCAGGGTTGCTTTAGTATTTTAATACAAAAAAAAAAAAAACTCTTTGTTTGCTAAGCAAGCACCATTTTGGCTGACTTCAGGAAAAAGGAAGATTTAAGATCATCATTTATAGAAGGTGTGTTTTTGTATTCACCAAAGAATAATGGGGAGAAGAAAGCAGCCTAGAACAATGAAGGAAGGAAATGAACCAATTCCTGCTTTGGGGGAAGTATACAACAGCTGTGCACCCAGCTGTAGGAGTGTTTTCAAATAGCAAAACAAAACAAATGCAAAAGTGATTAATTGTATACACTGGAGCCACTAGTGAGCGCTTTAAGAGAGATAAGGGTATGTTCCCTCACTGTAGTTATCTGCCTGCTCTCAATTTGTAAATGCAGTGTCAAGACTGCAACTAGGGAGAAAAGGGATGCCTCGAGGGGATATTTTACATGAAAATCATTAACTTTTCTCTATTCTATTCTCTTTGAACTTCAAAGAAAATGAAATGATCACAGGGCTATTATGAATGAAAGAATGTGCACCATGACTTCTCCAGGCACGAGAAAAGGACCATTGAGTTATAAAGATTTATCTTTCTGTAAATTACCACCCCCCCAGGTTCTACAGGATGTCTTACATCACTTAAAGAAATATTTGTCAAATTTTGTTCCCAGAGAAAAGCCTTTTGCCATTATGCTCAGTTTATTGCTAAAATTGAACACAACTCTTTAACAAAATATAAGCAATAGGGTAAGAGAAAGCAAAATGGGGTTTCCCCCAGTTCAACAGACAGAATAGAAGTGACAATCAATTTAATTAGGCAACAGGGCATGCCAATTAGAAAGTAGGATTCCCTGAAGCCTTGTAAAATATAATATAGAGAAGTAATTCTATCTAACCCCATATTTACAGCTGTGTAAGTTATATAATTACTGCATAAATATTCATCAAGATTCTTGAGTGAAACCAAGTACAAATGAAATAAAGGAAAGTCATACATCAGATTTATATTACAAGGGGGGAAAGGAGCTCAACAGTGCACATCCCAGATTTCACAGAGCAGTGGGGTGAACTTGTGATCGTTCACTCTCCATGACATCAGCATCTCAGCGTGGTGATGGTTGAATGTCCGCAATTCCGTCAGGCGACCCAGAAGACAGGCAAAATGCTGAGGATTTTCAGGCTGATGAATCTTGCACAGTTTTTGTAACACATCGAGCAGTGGTTCCTGAAGTTTCTCCACTGCCTCTCTATCCTTTATGTATTGTCTATCTGTTTTGGAGTTTAAAATAAAGTGACAAAATTTAAAAGTGGGAAAGCATTAATCTGGCATATTATAGCAAGGTTAACCTTTGGGAAATGTACATGCACACTCAAAATGTACAAATTAATATACACCCATGCAATCACATGTACATCAAGATATGAACATCTAATGCTCCCAAGAATCCCCCTTAATGTCCCCTCCCACCAAAGCCCCTGAAGGTAATCCATGTGATAGATATAAGTACCCTTTCTGATGGGTATAATCCCAGGGGTGAAATTGCTGGGTTAAAGAATATCTATGTGTGTAATTTTAGGAGGAGGTTCTGCCCAACAGTTTTTCTTTCTTTCTTTCTTTCTTTCTCACTGTTTATGGCTTTAAAAAAAGAGCAACTAGCTTCTGCCTCAATATCATGCATAAAAATGGCTTAATAAGTTTTTTTTCTTTGTGGTGCTAGGGAATAAACCCAGGGAGCCTTGTGCATGTGAGGCAAACACTCTATCAACTCAACTATAGCCCCAGCCCTAAAAAAAAAAAAAAAAAAAATGGTTTAAGGCAAGCATTATAATTGTGCTTTACAAATCCTAAACATGGCACAAACCTGCCATTACTTGCTCCCAAATACACTTACAAGTGAATTTCATGTACACAGGTATCAATATTGTTTAAGACAAGAAAATCGGAAGCATCACACTATATAAACATATGGTAAAGATTTAGTAATTGTACATCCATACAATGGATTATTATGCACACATTATAACAAACTTTTACCGATATAATCATACAGCTTACAATTGTAAATCAATACAACTGTAAAACAATTGGAATGACTTGGAAAAGGTCTATTGACAAGCTATAAACTTTAAAAAAGCATAATATGTTCTCTATTATTATTATATGAAATACATAATTTATTATTTATTTATTCAATATCAGTGATGCTTACCCAACAAGGTATATCCCTAGCCCTTTATATATTTTATTTTGAGATAAGATCTTGCTAAGTTGCTTATGGCCTCACTAAATTGCTGATGCAGACATTGAACTCGTGATCCTCCTGCCTAAGCCTTCTGAGCTGCTGGAATTACAGATGTGCATCACCACACCTGGCTAATAATTTCATTTATAACCCTGCTCAAATGTCAACCACTTAGAAAAGACTTCTCTGACCACTATTTAAAATATCATTATCCTACCACTTTCTTTCCTTATATTCTCATCATTACATTTTTAGAAGCATTTTCTATCTCCTAAAAATTTATTTTTATTAGTTTCATCATTTATTATCTTCTTTGTACTAGTAGAATGTGAGCCCCATGGGAGTTGTATCTTATCATATCCCTAATGTCTAGTACATAGTATATGTTCAACATGCATTCATGGGATGCACAAGGGTGATGTTTTGGAAAAAAAGATTAAGAAATACACTAAAATGTTAACAATGGCTCTATTTGAATGGTAGAACTACAGAGCATTTTATTTGTCCTTTATGTTTCTGTGTTTTCCAAATTTCCTTTAATAAGCATTATTACTTTCATGCCAAGGGAAAAAAACAAAAGGTATAAAAATTTAATGCACAACTGAAATTACCTGGAGAGAGGATAACAATCGCTGTAAGCAGAGCATACTCTTCTTGAGTCATTTTCAATTCCCCAATACTTTTATAAAAACTAAACATAGGTGTGATATAGTCATCAGAGATACCTACACGAGAAGGTTGAAAAATTACAATTACAGTAATATTTTTGAAGGACTAAAAAGCTTGAAACTAGAAACACATTACACAAACATATGATGATCTCTATCCCCATAGGTACACTTTTAAATAATCATATAATTTAAATTCAGTCAAAAGCAGAACATTGCAAAGAAGACCAATTGATAAAATCCTCAAAGTACAGATTTCAGCCGTGTCTTTGTTTCAGTCACTACTGTCTGACATTAAATAATAATGCTTTTGAATTGCTAGAAAGAATTTCAAAATTCCACCATTTTCTAGATGGAGCTTAGTTAAATCTTGTTTAATAGTAATATCTATAATCAAGGCATAGAAGGCATCTTAAACAACTGACAAAAAAAATTGTTCTTTAGTCGAGAAGTATTGACAGCTCTGTTGAATACACTGGCAGTGTTCCTATCAAAGGGTACCAATCTCTGGCCAGAGTAGCAGGCCTACTTGCCCATTACCTACTTGGCATAGGTCCTTGGTGTTCTCTTCAAACTCAGTACGTCCAAAATCAAAGATATCATGTACTGAACTCTCTCACCTTCCTCTAAAGCCACTTCTTTCCTGGTTTCCCATTCTCAGTAACTGATATCTTTATCCACCCCATTGCCCAGGCCTGATAACTGGGACCCAGGTGGCTGGTCTTATGGATTCTCCCTTCTCCCCTCACCTGTTGCTCTCTCCACTCTCCATGTCTCCTGGCTCTGGCTGAGTTAGCTTAAAGTCCCATCTCTTTCCATCTGGGTTACTGCAAGTACCCCCTCGATGGCCTTCCTGTCTTCAACTTGTTCCTCTTCAATGCATCTTTTATCCACCTACCAGAATGACCTTTCTAAAATTCAAACCACACACTTTCTCCCCACTTCTTATAAGTCTTTCCATGGCTTACAACTTCCATGATTTTTGCCACAGATTTTTAACTTTCTTCCTTGACTCTGCCCCAGCCATCCCTAACGGTGTGGGCCTCCTCCATGTTTGTATAGTCACTGTGACACACGACACGACACAACACACACTTGTGACAGACCCTTTTTCTGTTTCCAAAACACTAAATCTGACACACGTTTAGTTCCAGTGTGCACTTGTTTTAGTGAGCATCTGTAACTTTCTTGACTCCTACCTATGGAGACCCAGCACCTGGTCTATGCAAACTGTAAAAAACAAACAAACAAACAGTGGCACTGTCTTTTTTTCTCTTTTCCTTTTCCCTGTATCATCAGATACCTTCTTTGTTTCATGTTCCTCTTTGATCTATCCTCTATCCAGGACACCAGAATGACCTTCATAAAATTAAAACCACACACATCTCCCCACTTCTTACAAACCCACTGATACTTTGTTGAAGGAATTATCTGATCCATTGGTGAGTCTCTGGAAAGAAATCCCTATAAGTCCTAGCATTGACTCTTTGCTCCAGCCAAGGGACAAGATTATAACAAAGAGTTCTAAAAATAGCATTAGGCAGCAATTTTATTATGTAAGGACCCTTTTTATAAGACCCCCCCCCCCCCAGAACCCACCCCTGGTAATAGTAGGAGGCCATATTTGTTGAGTACTTATTATGTTTTAGGCACTGTTCTAAGTACTTTGTATGCAATAATTAATCTTTCTAATATCTCATAAAGCAGATACAGAGAGGTATATGACTTGTCCAAAGTCACACAGCCAGTGACAGGTAAACTAGAATTCAAACCAAAGCTTGTGGGCTTTGTCTAAACTGCCACTACTTTTCTATCTAGCACCCTTATCTCTAGCCATATTTAGCCACTTGTTCCCATAACAATTCAATCTGCCCTGTTTCTGCATGTATTGTTCTCTCTCCTTGGAATATCATTTTTCTCCTTTATCTAGCTTACTCCTCTTCATAAGTTAAGATTTCTTTGTGTCTGCTCAATCAACAAATATCAGCTTGGTGCCTGTTCTGTGCATGGCTCTATTCCAGAAGGGCCTTTGGCTGGGAAATCAAGGAAACAGAAAATACTGTGATGTGACTTATAGATGAATTAAGATGAGGATGCATCTCCCAGGATTGTTCCAGATGAGAACAGACTGCTCTATTCCTTTCCAAACCAGATCTAAAGCCAAAGAGCCTTGGCTGAACTGAACCAAAATAAATTTTATTCTGAATGCTGAAGAGTACAATTATCAATTTTATTGGTATACTTTAAGGAAAGTGAATTTATCAGAAAGTCTAAATCCTCACTTTAGAAGACTATGAAGAATCTTCCCAAAATAAATCTTGGGCTTTTCCCTCTCTAGTCAATGTACCACACTCTTCTCCCCTTTACTTCTGATTCTTTAATTGACCCCAGTGGGCTCTCTTAACAACAAAGTCTTTGTTGAGCAACTTGGGGATTCCATCATGTGGAAGGGTGCCCTTTATTCAGCTGTCACAGATTGAACTGAATCCCCACGACCAAACTGGATACAGTTTAAAAAGCTGTGGACTGGAGTATGTGAGTCTAGAAATAAAAGTCCTGGCTCTCAACACAGTGCATAGGAGGCCATGAGCCAGCTCTGAGTGAAGTTTGACTCCACAACTTAGTTTGACTCCACAACTTGACTCCACAACAATGCTTAAACTTTTTAAGCCTTAGGTCTCTTATCTGTGAACTGTGAATTATATAACAATAATATCGCATGAGATAATGTGTCAAGAGTGTTTAGCACAATGCCTGGCTCATAAAAAACCCTTGATAAATGTTAAAGCAAATAAGCACAAAACCTACTGTTGCTATTCAGGTGAACTGAATCCACACATTAGTTCATCTTAAACTTAGTTCATTTTAGTCTTAGATTAAATTTACTTTTACCTTACAAAGTTATGTGTTTTTTTAAGAAAATCATTCTGTATATGACTGAGAAGAAATACAAATAAGCTGATCAGTGATTTGCCTCAAAAGATTTCCATATATTAAAGGTAAACTAAAATCTGAATTTTTCTCACTAAGATTTTCTTTTCTATCTTCAAAAAATGGCTGTCTTTATGCTCTCTTGAGCATGTATGGACTTTATCCATCATTCATAGTTACCTAAAATAATAATTCATGACTATGCCATAATCTTAAATAGTACATGCAATTTGGAAGTGATATTCAAGGCAGCTGATTTTAAAATGTCCAATTTTTAGAAATCATCTTTGAATACCTAATTTCCTGGTTTATTTGTCTTTCTAAATCCCCACTTATACTCCAAAAATATTACTTCAATTAGCTATCTAATTATACTTGATACTATTTGAGGAAAATTGAGTTAAAATGTTTATTATGATTGTTTCATTTTGTGCAAGTTTTCTATATTTATAATACTGGGTATTATAAATATAGAAAACCAATAATAGAGTTCTTAAAAAATAATAATTTTCCAATAGGATGAATCAAATATAAATGTGCTTTGGAAATTAGAGTCAACAATCATTAACCACACAAAAACTAAAGGTGTGTTTTCAAGATTTGGGAAACAGGGATTTCTAAAATAAATGTAATGACAATATTATCCTGAAGGGGGCAGCCTTTTCCAGTTTTTCCAGCTTCCTCCTACTTCCTAACTGCTTTCTTAAAATTTGCTTCGTTTTTGCTCTTGTGACCAATCAGTTGATTTTTGGTCACTAGAGGGGGCTATTTTCTAACTCAGTTGCCAAGACTTTGCCATGAAAAACTCTGAAATTGTTAAAATAACAACAAAATTTATATTTTTACTCCCCAGTTTATTTATTTTCCCTTAAAGAGTTCTGTGATGGATGAATTAATTATTCAATTATCAGAAATATTCTCTTAGAGAATAACCATTTGACACAATAAACACTATCTTGCTTTATTTTAAAATGAATTGTCTTTTGTCTCCAAATTAACTTCCTAGCCTTAATTAGGAACAACAACAAAAAAAGTGGCTTATTTGTATGTGTGAGTGTGTATTATATACAAGGATACATATTATACAAGACCAATTTCTTTATGATTTACTGTAACTGAGGATCTCACTTGTCAAAAATTAGGCTTTTGCTATGTAATTTTTAATTCTTTCAGTAATGATGCCATCCCATAAGCCTCTGATGACATACAAGGCTATATCTGCTTTCTGCTTTCCTTTCAGACTAAACTCTTGCCCTCCCAAGGCTTTCTTCTGAACTAACTTCTGGGTTCCTAAAGGTGAATCAGTTTGTTGCCTACAATACATATCTACCTTCCCCAGCCCAGCCTCATGACCATGTAGGTGGAGGGAGATCCTGGCTCCCACCCACAGTCATTTCCCATAGCAGAGGTTGGTGTAGTCAGAAAGAGCAGTGCAATTCTGGCTAATGAGACTGAAGGGGAAATCTACTGGGATGCTCCTTAGAGAGATTTCCACCCTTGGGACTCATTCCTCTCTTTCCTTTGGCCATTGTGGAGCTTGGAACTGCTGTGGCCATTAGATGACCAGGAGGAGAACTTGCCTGAGAGTGAAGCCAACACACCAAGGTTAGCAGAGGAAAAGGAGCTGTGTTTCTGGTGATGTGCAGAGCCCCTGGATTAACCAATTCTGCTGCCACCCTTCCTCATTTGAGTTAACACATTTCCTTATTTTTAAGGCCATGTTGGGTTAGATTTTTTTGTTACCCTCAACCACCAGCATTTTAATAGGGATCTCCCCTAATAAATGAGAAACATGTTTTATGTCTTCATATTTTGTCCCCTGAAACATAACACAGGGTCCTTTTTAGGGTAAAGCACCCTACCCATGTTCAAAAGCATGCTACCCATTGTTCCAAAGCCAAGTTCAAGAGTGAAGCAGAATTAGTTGCTTTATTTTCCATGTTCAATTTTATGATACCTATTACAATTTGTATCTCTGCTCTTATAGTGTGTGTGTATATGTATGTATGTGTGTGTGTATATATATATATATAAATTATAAGAGCAGGAACCAATTACTACATCTCCAGTGCCTGGAATGTGCCTGATCCATAAAGGCTACTCCATAGATGTTTCTTATTCATCCC